TCTCTCTCTCTCTGTGTGTGTGTGTGGTGGTGGTGGTGTCAGCTTCATGCTTCCATCTTTTGTCAAATGGAAGATAGTCACAATGGCAAAAGCAATTTCAAGCCAAAGTGATGGAAGATGCAAACTACCAATGGTGAGGAAAAGTTGACTAGTAGTTGAGGTATAGGAATAAAAGTCCCAGACAGCCTTGCTGACTAAGATTCTGACAGAATGCTTGCTTTTCTTACCATGCTGTGGTTTCTGTTTGTGATGAGTGTTTTGGCAGAATTCTGTCAAGAAGTAAGTACATGCTAATTAATGTGGCTTAGAGGGAGGCAGGGAAGTAACTCTTCCCATGACGAGAGAGTCGAAACATGATGGGTATTTTTGATATTATTTGGAAAACTTAATAATGAGATGATTTTTAATGCATTAAGATGAAAATGTTTTGGAAAAATTCTTAACAATTATAATGGTAAATTACCAAATTTCTTGATGTTTACAAATATCCAGTGACACCAGTCTTTCAGGTCACTCAAGTCAATGACAACAATACATTTTTATTTTATAATCTGTTAGAAAACTAATTGTTTAGTTGTATTTTTTTTTGGGCTCTGGTCTCAGTATTCAGCATGTCCTTTAGTCATAATAAAAGGGGACGTTTTACATTTGTCCAGCTATAAAGTCGTGGAATAGAGCCCATGAAAATGTCAGGTGTGTTAATCATTTAATGGGGAGGCACTGGTCCATTTCAAAGATGAAGCAGTAAGTTCACAATCCAATTAATGTGAACTCTTGTTTATATTTTAATGCTTAGCAATCACTTATGGATAATAATAGTGTTTAGGTTACTGAGGGGGAGTGATGATGAACAAAAGTTAGCTAACTTGCAGAAAGACTTTTGCTAATGCAAAATTTGAGATGTTTATATTGATTATGTCATGATAAACATGTACTACGAGAGCAAGTTTGAGACATGTGTGTATGTGTGTGTGTGTGTGCTCATGTCTCATGTGCAGGAACATTTCTGTTGTACACATTTTAATGTAGTTAGCAAGGGAAACTCAATGACTAGCAAATTGAAATATTAAAATGGAAACCCAGGCGTTGATATTCCTAGAATCTCTGAAACTACTTGCATCTCTTCCTCCTCTGCCTGTCAAATTGACTTTCTGAGTTAACTGATCTAGAAGAAATACTTTAGAAAAAAATGTGTGGACTTGTTTTTCTTTTTCATTTTCCACCCTAATTAATGCCAGTCTTGGGGAATGTTAAGGTTCCAGCTTTAAAAGCCAAAAGAAACATGGAAATGAATATACAAAAAATGTGATTTAAAATGCAAATGTAGATTCTTAGGAAAACAGTGAAGTCTGATAGTAGGGTCCCCCCCCCTTATTTTTTTTCCCACAGCAGCTCAGTTGACAATATTGTTGTCTACTTCCTCTTGCTGGGAAAGCCCAGCCTGCTCATAGCTGCAATGCTCTTTGCACCCTCTCTGATAAAAAATGCTTTACCTGAGAAAACCCTAGCCCCAGTAACAGAAATCAACGGGTATTTAGCTCACAGAGCAGTCTACCAGTACACCGAAAAGCCATGACGTATGACAGCATGGTTGTTAATTCCTGAGACATCTTCAGAATAGTAATAGTTATATTCTCTAAGAGATGGTAGAAGAGGTTTCAAATAAGAATCAAGCTCCCAATAAAAGATACCATTTGTGTATTCCTTTACTGATTTTAATGCTTTATCATAAGATTTACTGGGGTGTCAATTATAAATAGATAATTATGGATTCTTTTAGCTTTGTCCCTGTTAAAGCAGGGTAGTATGATACTGTGTTTTCTGTTGAGCTTCAGAAAAATATAAGACTTGGAGTAGAGTCTGCTCACTCTAATAAAATCTTAGAGCTTGTTTATGAAAAACTACAAAGTCATTGTTAGACCTGAATTTTCACTCTGTCTCCCTTTTCTGGAAGGGGGTGGGTGTTATAAAAGGCAGTATTTTGTGTTTTAAGTTTGTCTATTTGTTTTAGTTTCTTTTTTAAAAAATTTTATTTTTATTTTACATATTGATCCCAGTTCCCTCTCCCTCATCTTTTCCTCTCTCCCACCCTCTCATGCCCCCCGACCACCCTCCCCTCCTATCCCCCTCTTCACATGTAGGGTGATGCCCTCCAGGAGGGGTCATCAAATCTGTGAAATCATTTGGAGTAGGAACTAGGCCTTCTCTCCATTCTCTAGGTTAAGGCAGTATCCCTCCATGGGGGATGTTTTCACAAGGTCCTTTTGTGCACCAAGGATACATCCTGGTTCCACTGCTTGAGATCCCTTAGACTGCTCAGTCCTTCTGGCTGTGACCCATATTCAGGGGGTCTGATCAGTCCCATGCTGGTTTCCCAGCTATCAGTCTGGGAGCCCGTTAGTGCCTCCTTGTTCAGGTCAGCTGTCTCTATGTGTTTCTGTAGCTTGGTCTTGTCCTCTTCATCTGCATCTGGATTCTAGTTTGGCTCAGTGTTTAGGTATGGGTGTTTGCTTCTGTTTCCATCAGCTACTAGATGAGGGCTCTATGATGGTGGATAAGTTAGTCATCAATCTCATTATCAGGGAAGGGCATTTATGGTACCTTTCCACTGTTGCTCAAATTGTGAGTTAGGGACAGACTTGTAGGTCTCTGAACATTTCTCGAGGTTCAGTTTTCTCTTCAAACCTATAATGGCTCCCTCTTTTATGGTATCTCTCTCTCTCTCTCTTTTCTCTCCTCTTGTTTATTCCTCCCCTGACTCAATCTTCTTATTCCCATGTGCTTTCGTCTCCTCCCCTTCTCTTTCTCTTAGTTTCCTCTTTACTCATTGCCCCCTCCCACTCCCCATATGCTCAGGAGATCTTGTCCCTTTCCCCTTCTGTGAGGGACCTTATATGAATCTCTTAGAATCCTCCTTGTATCCAAGTTTCTCTGAGGTTGTGAATTATAGGCTGGTGATCCTTTGCTTTATGCTTAAAATCCATATATGAGCGAGTACACACCATGTTCCTCTTTTTGTGACTGGGTTACTTCATTCAGGATGGTTTCTTCAAGTTCCATCCAATTGCCTGAGAATTTCAAGATTCAATTTTTTCCCCCATGCAGAGTAGTGGGGAAATCTTCCATTGTGTAGGTGTGCCACATTTTTTTTTATCCATTCTTCAGTTGAGGGGCATCTAGTTGCTTCCAGGTTCTTGCTATTACAAATAATGCTGCTGTGCTCTCTGTTCCAGTGCTCAGCCAGAGCAGTGGACAGTGAGCAGGGTATGGCACGTGGAGGGGGGAGGCTCTTTGTGGTGGGTCTGTATCAGAGTACCGGAGCACTCTTGCTGGGGACAGGTCACAGGGGGCAAAAGTCAATATTTTGTTAGAAGAAGTGAACAGGCAAGTGCTCAGGAATGCCTTCTCCAAGTTATTGCTGAATGCACAAGCAAGTCAGAGTGGGTGGGTTAATCAAAGAATGTACCTGGCAGAGAAAGCTTAGATCCCTAAATTGGAATTCGGGATATTTTAAAATGGTTTTGTATTTTAAATGTAAACCCATTTGATATGCTAATTGCAACCCCAGACCTCCTCACAGACAAAGGAACGTGTTCCTGATTTTATGAACTCCATCAATGCCGCTCTATCAGTTCTTCATGCCATTTGCTCCTCTCTTTTGGGAATGCCACTAGCTTACAATATGGCCGAGCAAAAGCAAAGGGAGTGTGAAAGCAAACAATTGGATGACCTTGGGATATCACGTGTTTCCCAGGTATCTACCCAGGTGCTGACTTTTAGGACCTGGGACCCTCCATGACAAGGGGAACAAGCTGTCGAGCTTAGCCTTTTAAAGCACTGGAGTTGGGGATGACGTCTTGTAGGACATTGCTTTGTACCTGACTATACCTCTTCCCCCTGGTGTTATGCTTGGTGAGTGAATCATGGCTTTGAGATACACAAGCACTTTAAGGAAAAGAACGGAGCCTCTCATGCAACTGTATGAAGTTACCCCACTCAAGGAGCCACATCTTCTTGTTGGCAGATTTGATGTGATGTGTTGGACAAGATGAGATGGCAAGGATGTGGAGGTGGAAGGAAGGGAAAATGAGTTTCCTTCTGAACCTGGTGAAGAATACCCCTGTGGCCACATGAAGAACTCATTTTAGAGTTGCTTCAGAGGCATCCATCCTTCAAATAGCAATTGTAACATTTTATCCCAAGAGTCACACTGTTCAGGCTTCTTCATGTGGAACAGCCTTATTTTCTCCATAACTATTTGCTTTCTGTTCCAATCTGTAATCTATTTTTTTTTCTTTTGGAAAGAAAGAAATTGATCTTTGAGATCCCCTTCCTACAAATTGCATGCTGAAATTCACTGGTGGAAAATAGCACCCTGATCATATCACTCAACATATTTTTCATTTAGTAAGTATTTGGATTGGCTATTTTGTATTTTTTAATGAAGATGATAAGTTCCTTTCTTGCCATTCATGAAATGGAGGAGGACACATTTCTAATTAATTAACTGACTGACTAACATTTGTCTTTTGATACAGTCTCTCAAATGTAGCCCAATGTAGTACAGGCCTGCATCAAAGTAGTAGTCCTCCTCCACCAGGGACCTGTTTATCTGTTTATAATATATAAAATACCAAGCTGAGGAAAAAGATTGGAGAGAGAAGAAGCGTCCTCTAATAAGAAGTAAATTTATCAGGAGAGGCCATGCTTAGCTCATCTACTTAACCTTGGCTGGCAGTGCTCTGCATGGGAAGTTCCTACTTTTCTCAAATGAACAAGTCTTTTCCTTGGCCCCATCCAAACTGAATCTTATTCCCTACTCCCCTACTGTCAGCCGCTGACATTTCTAATATTTCTGGCAGTTTCAATGGAAAAAGAAAAGGAGATCAGTCTTGTTCTTAGTATTTACAGTGGTTGTATGCATATTAAGAAGACTAAATATTCATATTATTTTCTTTACTACAAGATAAAGACAAGTCTCTGTTCAAAGTGAGTAACATGTCTCGATTTAGTAGCACATATACTAAAATTAAAGCAACACAGAGAAGACTAGATGGCCATTGTACAAGAATGGCACGCAAAGTCAGTAATAGATTTGAGATCTTAGTTAATTATCTGCTTTTATTTTCCATGCTTCCATGTTAAAATATTCCATTTATGGGAGCTCCCCTGTGCTGCCTCTATGGAATGACTACCATAGTAATAGTTTTACTGCTGTCTCTGCTCTTGCTGGTTGCTAGTATCCTTGTATGACTGGGTGTTAGAGACTTCTGTGAATTCTACACGCTAACCCCTCTGTCCTTTGAGAGTCCTATAGTAGAGATACCATGTTGTTACAGTATAGATACCATGTTGTTACAGTTTACATCCAAGGACACTGAAGTTGATCAATCTGGTAAAGATCAAGCAGGCAATGATTTGGATCCAGGATGCACCACGGGAGTTGCTGAGCTCAGAGGCCCAGATTTAGTTGTAGATCCCAAGTGTGTACCTCAGAGTTTTCCTCTGTATAAAAGAGGTCATTCTGGTTACTCCAGTTGCTGGGGGTCTGTGCTACATTAGAAATTCAATTGGAAACTGTTATTGGTGTAGCTTGACCAGAAGTTTTGCTAGAGTTTTAGAGAAGTAATTATCAACCCCAGTCACCATTTTGAACATGAGACACCAGTAAAAGTGAATTTAAAAGGATCTGTAAGAGATTTTTACAACCTACACAAATGTACTAAGAATTTTGTTTCTGTGGGAGCTTGGAAAGATGTCATTCCAAAGAGAAACTAAAGGAAAGTTTGGATAGAAATTAAAGGATTCCAGAAGAGAGTCAGTGAAGCAATGCCACCAGACAGAGAAGCAAGCCAAACATAGTCGGGTGTTCATTGTCCCATTGGGAGGAGGGGACACAATTATCCACTGAGGGTAAGCAGTCATAACCCCAGGACAAACCTAGGTGTTGATGAAGCTGGATTCCTCTGGCAGATGGGTCAGCTGTGGAGAGAAATCCCATTTGGAGGGCAGTGTCTGGTGCCATACTGAGGGAGCGTCTACTGTTAAAAACTGAACTCCTTCCCAGGAACATGAGATCAGGGAACACCCATAGGTCAGGAAGCCTCAGTTTGGCTGTCAGAGAAAGGCCAGAGAGGAATATTGTCTGGATCCTGATTGGCTGAAAGGTTATATATTGGGATGTACATAGGTAAAGATAGCCTTGCTCTCAGGTGGTTGCCAGGAACAGATCTCATCAACTGAGTGTTACCCTCATGACATAGCCAAGATGCCAACAATACAAACCAAATAAACTATACAAGAACCTGTAAGAGAAAAACAATTACTTACTAACACGGAACAATGAAATAATATATAGTTCCTCATCTGACTAAGAGTGCTATGCCTTGCACTGCTGTCTTTTAAAATTGATGTAGAGGCAAAAACATTTCAATAGAAGCACAAATTAAAGCAGTTCATGACTGCCAAGCTAGCGCTACCGAAGGTGTTTCAAGGACTACTATACAGAAGAAGAAGAACCTCTCAATCTCCAAAATCTAGGAAATAATAAACTTCAAGAGATAATACTTGAATAAAGGACAGCAAGGAAGGAATCCATCATGTCTTACACAATTACCTGGAAAAACCCTAATACTGATAGGGGAGAAAGGAAGGATGGACAAGAATCCAACCAATCATAAAAACTAACAAAGTTATAAGGTTTAGTAAAAATCTCTCAATAATAGGATTAAATGTAAATGGGCCAATCTCTCCAATAAAGAGACATAGACTGGTTGATTGGACTAAAATCTAGATGTAAAAACTTATTTTACCAGTAAAGACACCTATAACCTGACTGCTAAAAGAGGAAAACAATATATCAAGTGAATGGAAACTGGAAGCAAGCTCCTATTGGACATATTCTGAGAGATGACAAAGTAGATTTCAAACCAAAATTAGCCAGAAGAGATAAGGAAGTCCACTGTATGTTAACAAAGGAAGCCAACCATGAAGACAACATATCAAGTATCAATATCTGTTCATCAAACACTGGGACATTCAATTTCTTCAATCATACTGATTGACAGTGAAGGTCAGATAGGTTCTGATACAATAGTGGTGATTTCCTTACCTCTCTCCCATCTAAAATACAACACAGTTTTTATATTTAAACTATGCCATAGACAGAATGGACTTAATAGACAGCCACAGAAGACTCTACTCAACATAAATAGAATATACATTCTTCTCAGAAGCTCATGGGATGTTCTTTAAAATAAAGAACATTCTGGGTCCTGGACCAATCAAATACAAAATAACCCCTAATAAGATACTTATTAGATTACAATGAAGTAAATCTTGAAAACTGGCAGGAAAAACTATGGAAACTGAAGAATAACATGGAGAATGAAAAAAATACTCTTGAATAACCTGTGGTCATTGATAAAATCAGGAAGTTTAAAGGTTTCTAAAGTCAAATGAAAATGAAAGTAGGAGCTACCAGGACCATTTGAATACAGCTATAACAGTTGTAAGAGAAAAGTTTATAGATGTGCATATCTGAACATCTCAAATAAATAACACATTGCACCCAGGATCATTGAAAACAAGGACAGGACCAATTAAAGGGAACAAAATTCATAAAGAGGAATCCTCCATCCTCTTTGTTTTCTTTCTCTTGTCAACAACATGGAAGTGAGGATTGAAACTCCAGCATGAGGTCCTATAGTGTGATATGACATTGAAAGTGGAAGGCCTGATGGTGGACATGGAGAAAAAATACATGGGGTTAAATTTGTAATGGTATTATGGTTTCATAGTCAACTGTAGGCTATTGTAGATTTCTTTTACAGTGATAATGTTAAAAGAACCAAGAACACAATCACTATGATCTATAGTCTCAGATTAATCACAGGTTATAGAGAATATTAACCTTATTTCCAATTAATCCAGAAAAATCATTTTATTAATTATTGATTGACTTATTTACACTTGCGCATTAAGGTAAATAATTAGATTCTGATTCAGTAATACTTTGTTTTTTTCTGAAATAATAAAACATTTTAGTGTTTATTCTGTTATATATTATACACCTAAAAGAGGTATTTTATTATATTACTGAATTCAATGTAGGGACCATGTAAACACTGAATCATATCTGAGGTATTATCATATGATATTTACATTGTGAGCACTATAAAATACACTATAATAAACTTGGTAAGTGGTCTCTCTCAATCTGCTTGACTATGTGTAATACACCCATATATCTTTTATTAATTCTACTTTTGTTTAAGCATTAAAATCTACATTTAAGTAATATAAAAATAGAGGTGTCACGATTTTTTGTTAATAAGAGGAGAGAATAAATGAATTCATTTAAAAGTGATATGTGTGAGGCTAGATGTATACCTCAGTGATAAAGTTCTTTCTAAGTCTGCATAAGGCTCTTGGTTTGAACTCTAATACTACAAAAAGAAATAAAGGAAATCAATAGCCCCATAAAGGAGTCTGAGCTATGTGGGAGATGAGTAAAATCTTCTGGTGTTCTCTCCCTACAGGCACACAAAATTAGGTGTCTATCCATGAACCAAAGCATATCCACAATAGTTAAAGGAACTAGGCAGGACTACAATGCATATTGTTAGTTCCTTGGCACAAACAGTGGATGGGCCAGATAAAGACATTTGAAGTAGGCAGGATGGAAGAGTTGCCTGTCCCATTCACTGTCCTTTACAAGGAATTCAGCATTTAGAGAGATGCTTCCTGCTTGGGACAAAGGGAGAAACAAGTCCAGGCTGTGGACTTAAAATGTAGTTACATAAAGAATTGCTTGGCAGAACCTCACAACTCCTCCTACCAGGGCAAGTGATTGAGCTCCTGAAAAATCTGTGGGACTTGGAAGCTTCTACCATACAACCTCCAACCTTAATAGGCAGATCGGGACTCCACCTTCTGGGGGCAAAAGCTAGTTCTTAGAGATAAGGGCCAGGTTCCTGCACTTCAGGATCAAGTAGAAACTGAAGGTCAGAAAGACAGGCCAGAACACACAGAGGGAGCTTCTGGACCAGGTCTGGCATCAGGTCAAGATTTAGACATAAGTGGACAGACCCATATGTTTCTAGATCTGTACAAAAGTAAAAAACAGGGGGCAGTCATGATTTCTGGACTAAATCACTGTCCGCTGTAGTATGAGTTCTACTAAACCCCAAGGGCCATGTAGGATTTTGTGGCTGTAAGACTCAAGGATGGTCCATCTAGTAATAGCCTAGGTGGCCCAAGGTCTGCCTTCACCAATATTCCTGCAACCTTAGGCAGCATAGAGTTGGTATAAGACCCTGTTTGCTGAAGACAGGGTAGTAAAACTAAGACATGGCTTTCAGCCTTAATGCTGGTAAAACAACACTGTGGAGATCCTAACAACCCCATCCCCAGGCGTACCTGTGGAGCGAGCCTCTAGAACCTCTACCCCCCCTCCAAATGCCAGGAGGAAACATATAGCTCTTGCCTGTCAGGCTTCTATTTCTGCTAGCATCACCTGTGGCTGGTTGTAATTCTCTCCATCTCTGAGTCCACCAAAGCAATAGGCAGCAAGTGGAAATAACAGCCTTCACCCAGCCCACACGCTGTGCTGGTCTTAGCAGGTTATGAACTTAGAGTTTATCAGGCTTAGCGCTATTGATGGCCACAGTAACACAGAAGCCTGTGGCTGGTCTTTACAGGATGGTGCTCCAGAGCTGCTCAGAATCCTACAGGGTCTGAGTTCAAGCCAATTAGCATGGATGGAGGCATCCAGGCACACTATGGCTACAGAGAGAGAGAGAGGCCCACAGAAGCAGACTGTATACTCTCCTATTTCCTTTTGAGCTGCACACCAAGACTGTGTTTGGGATAATCCTTGGTTGGATTGCCCCCTGTTGCTGAAAAAGTAACAATCCAGACTCCTGGCAAGCTCCACCCCATCGCCATCTACTGCCAAAGCAGTGGAAGTGACAACCAGCTCTGGGAACATACTTAGCCTACTTAGGATGCTCAGAAAGAGGCATGAAACCAGATGAGAAAGGCTGGAAAAACATCCACTTCTACAATGTTCAGATGATCTCACATGCCAACACTCATAGGGCCTT